GCCTTGGTGGTGCCAACCACTCAACAACTCACTCACCTATACTTTAGAAATTTGCTCTGTGATTGTAATACTTGCCTTAGTTAGGGCTACTATTACTATTCTGGAAAACCATGACTGAAAGCAAGTTGTGGAGAAAAGGGTTTATTTGGCTTGCACTTCCACATCACAGTTCAGCATCAAAAAAAGGACAGGAGTCATAAATGTCAGGAACCTAGAGGCAGGTGCTGATGCAGAGGCCATGGAGGAGCGCTGGTTACTTGTGTGCTTTTCCTGGCTTGCTAAACCTGCTGTCTTACAAAAATGTAGTACCACCAGCCCAGGGGTGGCTCACCCACGATGGGCTGCTCTCTCACCACACCAATCAATGACGAAGGAAGTGTCCTACAGCTTTGGAGGCATTTTCTCATTTGAGGTTCCCTCCTCTATAGAGACCATAATTTGGGTCAAGCTGGCATAAAGCTAGCCTTCCCAAGCTCTACATCTCAGATGGCTTTAATTTGCCTAAGGAAACAACTGAATCATGATATTTGACTTTAATGAATCTTCTACTCATCTTTACTTGTGTATATCTTAAGAAATAGGATAAATACATTTAGTTTGCAAACTTTAAGTTATAAATAACCTTCATTTTTTCTTATCAAGTTTAAAAATATTGTTTTAGAAATTTTTTACTTACAATCATTATTATTATTTGTGTGTACATGTGAACACATGAATGCATTACCTATGTTACTGCATATGCATGCTGTGGTGTGCATGTCAGGGACCAGCCTTGACAAAAATACCTTTTGCCAGGGTAGAACCATGGAAATTTAGAAAATATTAGTAAAGAATATGAAGATGTGAAAGAAAATGATAAAATGGAGAAACATATAGGATAGTATTGGGAGGGAATTCCAGTGAGTACTGAAATTCACCCACATTTAATTTCCAACTGCTTAAAATACCCCTCACCCTAAAAGGTAGGAGTAAGATGTAAACATGCTACAAGGAAATGAACATATCAATTGAAGGTTGCAAGCTATATCCGTACTTAAACATTCTGTTTCTAGAACAAAAAAAGTCATGCTCACACCCTAGATCAAAATATTCTGTAGGTAAACCACTCCCTAGATGGAATCCAAAGTTATCTCCTTCAGGGAGGTAGGAACATATCTACTTCTCTTTTCCTGAAATACAAGGTCTGGCTATTAGCCACACCCATCGACAACAACCTTGAGAGAGCAGAACTCTCTGATCTACCTCTAGCTGTGATCTTTGTTTGACTAGAAGCACAACAACCTTGAAGGAACTAAAAGTAAGTTCCAGCTCTCTAACCTTTGGTCAGCGTGGAAATAGGCTCACATTTTTGGGCCTCCACATGTGCACATGGAGGTTGTTGCTGGTTGTTTTTCTTTTATTCTTTACTCTTCACTCTTTGGGGTTCTGACACCCAGCTCCCAAATAAATGTCACAGAGGATTTTTTTTTCTCATGAATATCTGGCCTTGGCTTGGCTTGTCTCCAACCAGCTTTTCTTAACTTAAATTATTCCATCTACCTTTTGCCTCCAGACTTTTGTCTTTCTCTATTCTATATGCCTGTCTTTACTTCTTACTCCACGGCTTGCTGTGTGTCTGGGTGACTGGTCCTTGGCATTCTCTCTCATTCTTCTTTCCTTGTTCTTCCTCTCTACTCTTCTTCTCTTCCTATTTATTCTCCCTGCCTGCCAGCCCTGCCCATCCTTTCTCCCGCCTTGCCATTGGCTATTCAGCTCTTTATTAGATCAATCAGGCATTTTAGACAGACAGCGTAACACAGCTCCACAGAGTTAAACAAAGGTAGCATAAAGAATGCAACACATCTTTGCACCATTAGATGACTATTCCACAGCATGAAGAAGTGTAACACGTCTTCAAATAATATTCCACAACAGTGGTTAATGACCAACTTTTGGAGTTGATTCCCTCCTTCTGCCTGGCTGAGGTAGCTCTTCTTTCTGTCATGCTGTATCCTCTAGGTTAGCTGCCCTGAGGGCTTTTGGGAGATTCTCCTGCTTTACTTGCCTTCTCATGGTAGGAGTATTGGAATTACAGACAGAAGCCCACTGCATCCAGCATCTTAAAGTGGGTTTCAAGGATAAAACTCAGGTTGCCAGGTTTGTGTGGCAAGAGCATTTGTCCATTGAGCAATCTTGCTTGTCGTAAACTATTTTTTGATGAGAATTTTGTTTTATCTATGTGTTTGTTTGTTGAGGCAGGGTCTCTCTGTGTAACAGCTCTGGTAGTCCTGGAACTCACTTTGTAGACCAGGTCTGCCTCTGCCTCCCCAGAAGAGGGATTAAAGGCATGTGTCACCACCACCTGGCCTGGTTTTTTTTAACAGCATAACTTTATTCTATGCTGGTTTAAGCAATACTTTATCAAATAAGGACTAAAACTAAAAAGTTAATCTAATGAAAGCATAAAATAATGATATTTCCTTACACATCATTTGGTACTTCGTTTTATTTTAGTTTGCTTTGGAGAGTGGGTTCTGGGGATCAAACTCAGGGCCTTACACGTTAGGCAATCTCTCTACCACTGTGCAACACTCCCATTGCACTGTTTCATCCTAACAACCTTTGTTGTGTTAGGGACAGAATCCAAGGCCTTGTGTGCGCTAAGCAAGTGCTCTACCTTGAGCCATTTCTCCAGCCCTTAACAAACATTTATTGAGATTATTTACTAGATAAATCCCAGCATTTGGGAGGCAGAGGCAGGTGGATCTCAGTGATTTTCAGGCCAGCCTGGTCTAAAAAGAGTTCCAGGACAGCCAAGACTGTTATACAGAGAAACCCTGCCTTGAAAAAAAAAAAAACAAAACAAGATACAAAAAATAAACGACAAAAAGAGTTGCCACCATGGTCATGGTGTCTCTTTACAGTGATGAAACCCCACCAGCGCTGAGTAGAGAAAAGCAAAAAGCTTATTCCTATCAAGTAAATGCCAGCATTGTAGAGAGCGATGCAGTCTGCAGTCTTCCTGCTGCTCCAAGTCTTGAAGTAAGAAAGTAGCTGCGGACAATGGTTGATTAGATGAACACTGACAATTCTTTCTGTTCTGTAAGAAATTGTTCTGATTGCTCAACAGAGGCCTGTTGGGGAATATTATTTTCTGATGTGTGACTTTTGTTTAGGCTGCGTTTGTTTAACTCTGTGACCCTGAGTTACTGTGCCTGTCAAAATACCTGATGGCCCTAAAAAAAGAGCTGAATGGCCAATAGCAAGGATAGGCGGGGCTGGCAGACAAAATATAAATAAAAGGAGAAAGGAGGCGAAAGAGGAGGGTGTCAGGGGCCAGCCTCCCAGCTACATGGCAAGCCACAGAGAAAGAAGTAAAGAAAGGTATACAGAAATAGGGAAAGGTAAAAGCCCAGAGGTAAAATGTACTCAGGATAATTTAAGAAAAACTGCAAAGAAACAAACCAAGCTAAGGTGTGCATTCATAACTAAGAATAAGCCTCCGTGTGTGATTTATTTGGGAGCTGGGTGGCGGGCTGCTCAAAAACCCAAAAGAGTAAAGCAACATACAGCAGAGGCCTTCGTGGGTGTCAGTGTACAATGTAGGTAAAGATATTGGCCCTAATGCAAACTACAGACTGATGGTGTACCTGTGGAGGTCATAGATGATAAAAAACGTCCTATTGTGGTTCGGGATGCTCATAGTCAGGGAGGTTGTCCATACACAGTGACAAGAAGTATATAAGAACTTTTCCTCAACTCTTCTGCGAATCTAAAATGTCTCTAAAAATACAGTCTATTAAAAATAGCAGACAGCCCTTTGAATGGCGACATGAACTTAACTATTTTGAATTTAGAGGAAGAAAATATTCCCAGATGATGACTAGCCAGCGCTTTTTCGATGAGGTCATCATTGGCTCCCTGTGTTAGTGATGGGAAGCAGATTTAGTCGTTTTTCATACTTGGATTTTAAAAATATGTGTTTGAATTTGTTTTCTTCAATCTAAGGTTCTATACTCTGAATTTGCTTTCAATAATGAAATTCAAGCACAAAGGGTGCTGGAATCTTTAACTAGGAGAAAAATTGTTTCTACTTATATTGTGCTTCTTGTTCCAGTGCATTTTAGTGTCTTGACTACAGTTTATATTTTTGGACATTCGTCCAAAATTTGACAATGTAAATATAATTACCATGTAGGAAATATTATGTTTGCGAGCTATAATATTTTTTTTTGCTTGTTTTGTTCTTTTTTATTTTCGAGACAGGGTTTCTCTGTGTACCCTTAACTGTCATGGAACTTGCTTTGTAGACCAGGTTGGCCTTGAATTCACAGAGATCCACTTGCCCTTGCCCCCCAAGTGCTTAGATTAAAGACGTGCACCACCACCGCCTGGCTTGCTTCGAGACAGGGTCTATCTCACTTTGTAGCTCTGGTTGGCCTGAAACTCCTTGTGTAGACCATGTTGACCTCCAACTCACAGAGGTCCCCCTGCCTCCGGAGTGCCAGTGCTGGGATTAAAGGTATGCACCACTTTGCCCAGTCCCTCTTCTCATTAACTGAGAAAACGACTAAGAAGACTGCTGTGATGGAGAATTAGGCTGGAAACTAAAAGAAAGGCAGCAGATCCTTGTAAAAGTGGCTAGTCACTGGGAGACTTCAGGAGAGGTGACACCCCCACCCCCATCCTCACCCCATGTGTATAACTGGGAATCCACAGCCAGGTCAGAGACCTTTTCAACCCGTGTACCTAAGCCGACATGAAAAGCAGCTCGTTTCTACTTTTGAAAAGCATTATCGCTGAGATTCTCTTAACTGTGGCAACTGCTGATAGCGACCCTGTCCTCTGGTAGGTTTTAAGTGACAACTCTTTGGCATTGGGAGGAACGGGGAGGGGACCGAGAGGGTGACAAAGGCTGCGTAGGAAACAATGCAATAAGGAGGTCAGGCCCCGCCCGGCCGCCTGCTCCTCCAGCAGAAGGGGCCGGTTCTCGCGGCCTGGAACCCTGTGCGTCCGGGTCCGGCTGCCGGTCTGCCGCGGGGAAGCATTTGAGAGTGGGACCGCGAGAAGCGGCTTGTAAACAGAGCCGGGCCAGGATGGTCGGCGGCTGGGGCGGAGCGGCTGGCGGTGAGCAAGGCGGGCTGCCTGGGTCGGGGCCCTGCCGGGAGTCGGCTGCAGGCCGTGGGGGTGACCAGACCCAAGCCTCGGTGAGC